TCTTCTTCTTCTTCTTCTTCTTCTTCTTTTCCTTCTCCTCCTCCTCCTTCTTTCTCCTCCATCTTCTTCTCCTCCTTTTTCTGTTTGGTTTTAAGACAGGGTCTCTCTATATAGTCCTAACTGGCGCTCACTATGTAAACCAGGCTGGCCTCAAACTCAGAGACCTACCTGCCTCTGCCTCCTGAGTACTGGGATTAAAGGTGTGCACCACCACACCCTACCTAAGGTTTGTACTTAATGATACATTGAGGAGGCTTCTCTGGTCTCCCTCTGATGTCTCACTCTTCATCCCTTGTCTCCTAGCAGAAGTCATATAGCCCCTAACCCTCTAAGAGCAGCAGTCATTGGGCTTGTAGCTGTAAACATTAGACAAGGGTATTTTCATCATCTGTTCACATCTGGCCAGGAGCAGCCTCCTGGAGTAGGTAAGACAAAAACCCTGAGCTACAGGCTCTTTCAGAAGCACAACCTGGTGTCTGTAAGTAGCTTTTGCTTCTAGCTTTTAAAATGTGATACATATGTGGCCAGTCTCTGAGGTCTTAATGGCTTGAATCCCCATTTCATTTGAATGCAAGAAGTCACATTGCTGAAGTCCAGTTCCAGAGATATCTGGAAGTCTTTAGTGAAACTTAGAAGGTCTGCAAGTCTGATCTAGTCATCTTCCCTCTCCTCAATTGCTCTAGTCACTGATAGCTGTTCCATCTTTTCATGAACCACTGTTATCTAAATGCTCCTAACCCTTTCGTACTGGCTCATGTCAAGCTGCTGTCACCGCTGACCCTGCCTGTGTTTGTCTGGGGCATACACACTTCCATACCTCCCCATAGTGAGAGCAGAGAGACAACTGCAATCTGAGTTCAGGAGTAATAGATGCTCAAGGTTAGAGAAAAATATCCAATGTTTGTATGGCTACTCAGCCCCCTGCTCAAATCCACACCATCTTTAGGGATTCCCTTCCAGGCAGCTTTATAACTCTCTCCTGGGGCCGACTTCCTCCCTGCAGCAAAAGGATATTCAAGTGTCAGAGCCTATGCAGCTGGGGAAAGAGAGAAGGAAATACGAACCTTACTCCAGTTTAACATCTTCCCATTTTGTTTTTGTGTCCCATTCCTTATATGTTTGGTTTGGGGCATTGTTTAAGACAGTCTTAGACTGTAATCCTGACTGGGCCAGAATTTTACATACAGTAGTCTGGCCTCATTCTTGTGGCAATTTTCCTGCCTCTGCCTCCTGAGTACTGAGATTAGAAGTATGCACTACCATATCTGTCTGGGCTTTAAACTGTTGCTCTTCTTGTTTTAAAGGTGTTACTCTGTAGCCTAGGCTGG